ACAGCAGGCAAAGCTTTTCTGTAGAAAAACGGACTTTCTCCTGGAGTGTAAACCAAAATTTCTCTCTTACTGTTTCTAGAAATGATAGTGGTCTTTTCAGTTTTGTCTCAAAGCTATTTTCAATAGAATTTTAATACATTTCATCGGAATAGTTTCTTGGATTCACAATAACCTCTCTCATCTTTCAGTAGACACTTTCTTCAGTACCCAGAGCACATCTTTACCTATCTCCAGACTTCAACTTGTTCCACAGGCTTTGTATTCAGATCCATCTTTCTATTGCACCAATAGTATCATTCAGACTTTGAGACAATGAGAATCAAATGTACCCAATTCCATGAGTAGTAACTAGCAAATCCCAACCCAATGCCAGTATTAAATAGTGGGTATCTCTTCACATACTCAACCTACAGGTTTAGGACCCCAATCTGAAGATAAGATGGAATGCTCATAAATAGTACATTATCAAAACTGGCCACTGATTATTATAAAAGATCGAAAACTTTAACAAAAAATACCATCGATTGGTGAAAAAGCATATAGTATCTCTACAGTAGTATCTATTTCTACTTTTTTGTTGCTGTTGTTTGGTTTTTTTTTCCCCTGTTGTTTGTGTTTTGAAACAGGATCTCACGCCATAGCCCAGACTAGCCTTAAATTCAAGGTACCCCTACCTCTCTGTCTCCTGAAGGCTGAGATGATTAGCCTGCTCCACCCTAGCAGGCTAATTTTCACTTTTTGACCCCAAGGGAATCTGCTTCCTCCAACATCATGTGCCTTGTATATAAAAAGAATTACGTTTCAAAACTTGTGTTGTTAGGAGTACTTTCCTAAGATGTTCATTCAAGGACAAATACGACAAGCTTTGGACAGAAGTCCTTCTCATTTTTTTTTCATAATAAAACTACCCAAATACTATAACATCACAAAACTATCCAAATGTGTAAAAATTTGAAAGAAATATTTAAGCCACTAATTCAGCTTAACGATTAATGACTATAAGGAGTAATTGTTAGAAACCTCTAAAATGAATTTGATTTTTATATAAAAAGGACAAAATACATCTGACTTATAGATATACTTGTATGGATATTATATTTTAGGTAATATGGAATATATGATAGTATTGTGTAAGGGGTGGATCTAGAGTTGGATAACCAAGTGCTTCGGTGTCTACAAAGTAAGATAATAGTTCTGCTTATAATCAGACAATGTAATACATATGATTTTGTGTGCACATTACATCACTACACCATTTAGCAAAACATTTTAGTTACCACTATTAGAATTATAAGACTGAGCCTACATAAATTGAGGTTTCAACTAATCAGAATAGTACTGACCATTTTTGAGTTCTAGGGCAAGCTAACTATAAAACAGCAAACTGTGTAGTTTAGACTCTGTTGCCACTCTTTTTAAATTCAAGTTTCTTTTGTTTTCAAATATAAAGCCATAGTTCTCTAGCAGCAAATAAAAATAATGTTCCAAGGCATTTTGATTAGTTGAGATTTTACTTAAAATTCTTCAAAGTTCTCCCTAAAGAGAGGGATACATTTTTAAACTTAATCTTTTCTCTCTCCTTTTCTTTGTTTGCCTTTCTTTCTTCTTTCTTTTCTTTTCTTCTTTCTTTCCTTTGTTTTCTTTCTCTTGCTTTCTCAATATCTTTATTTCTCTCCCTCCCTCCTTCTCTTCCTTCTTCCCTTCCTTCCTTCTTTTCTTCTTCCTTTCATTATTTCTTTTCTTCCCTCTCTCTTCCCTCCTTCCTTTCATTGTGCTAGGGTTTGGATTCAGGGCCTCCTGCTTTCTTGGAAAGCATTCTTCCGCTTGAGCCATGCCCTGAGTTCTTTTTGCTTTAGTTAATTTTCAGGTAGGGCTCGTCCTTTTGCCTAGTGCCAGCCTTGAACCTAAAACAGGTTCTGCCTAGCGGGGATTAAGGAAGTTCAGTTGTTGAAAAAGTATTCCTAACTCTTTTGCACAGGCTGGCCTGCAATCATGATCATCCCATTTCTAACTCTGTTGGAACTGTAGACATGCCAGGCCCTAGAACTTAGTTTTCAAGTGATCAAGTACACTGCAAGTGAAATTTGAAATTAATATATATCTTATTAAAGGAGCAAAAAGCATGTAAGTTTTCTGCATAAACTTTATAACCACTGGGAGGGGACAAATGTTTTAAAATAATTAGTAGAACTTTAAAATCAGGGCTATGCCTAACTAAATGATCAGGATAAAAGTATTTCCATGGCGATCTTTTAATCCTATTTCCTGAGTAAGAAGCAGGAAATATTTCTCTTTTCTTTCTGTTTCTCACTACTTTGTTCTAGATAAATCCTTGATAAAATTTACACAAAAATGTCTGCCTTTATTAATGCATAAAAGACCCTGCAGATAATATAAAATGTTATGCTAAGTAATAATCGCTAAGATATACTTGAGTATACCTTAGGTATACTCCACACTGAGAAACTGACTAGGATAAACAATCTGGTTTCGTCATCATATAACTGCAAGGAGGAACAAATAGAAAGATAAAATTTAAAGTTTATTTTATTTTATTTATTTTTTTTTATTTTTTTTGTCGGTTGTGGGGGCTGAACTCTGGGCCTGGGCGCTGTCCCTCAGCTGTTCTGCTCAAGGCTAGCACCCTACCACTTGAGCCACAGCGCCACTTCTGGTTTTTTCTGCATATGTGGCGCTGAGGAATCGAACCCAGGGCCTCATGCCTGCGAGGGCAAACTTAAACTGCAGTGATACATCTATGGGATTAAACTATAGACATCAGTACAGAAATATTCCCATAAAAGTTGGGACCATGTTTTCCATTATAACAAGAAGAGGCCAGGCTTAGGACATAGTCGCAAAGGCTCTATGGCTTGAACCAGGAGGTGGTAATGTGTTAGTAGTTCATCAGCTCATCCATTGTTTTATGTGCACTTTTGTGTTCAGGTTATGATTTTTCACAAATTAAAATTCTATGATATCTGGGTATGGTGGTGTGTACCTTTAGTCCCAGCACTCCACAGGCTAAGGTACAGGATGATGACTTCAAGGTTACATAACAAGGCCTGTGTCAACAAGGAAAAAAGGAAGAAAAAACAATCTCTAAAAACAAGCAGATCCATTTAATGGATTGGTTTCTGACTACTGGTTTAAATATAACATAATGATTTTGATAATAATTTGCCTCACTTCAAGGCATGTATATATGACCATGTTTGTGATAGCAAACAGACACAAAAAAAATTCTTACAGAGTTTAGCTTTATATTCCGCATAGCTCCATTTACCTCTGTTCCAAGAAAACCATCAACTAAAAACAAGCCTGAGGCTGCGAAGATGGATCAGTGGTAAAGTGCTTGCCTAGCAGGCATGAGGCCCTGGGTTCGATTCCTCAGCACCACAGAAGCAGAAAAAGCCGGAAGTGGCACTGTGGCTCCAGTGGTAGAGCGCTAGCCTTGAGCTGAAGAGCTGAGGGACAGCACCCAGGCCCAGAGTTCAGGCACCACAACCTAATTAATTAATTAAAAACAAGCCAATTAAAGAAAGGTATTAGATGCTGTGTTCTCTTAAAATTCACATGTTGAAGTCTTATCCCTCATTTGAAGACATGATCTTTCAAGAGGTAATAACAGCAAAACAAGGTCATTGGGGTGGGCCCAAAACAATCTGACTGTGTTCTAAGAAGAGAAAACTAAGGTAGAAATACGCACAGTGGGAAGGCAAGCTGGGACCCAGGAGAAAAGCATAGACAGAGAGACCTCACAAGATAGCAGTCCTATTGATACCTGAATCTCAGGATTCAGTCTTCAGAAGTGTGAGAGAATGTTTTCCTCTTGTCTATTGCTGCCAGAGCAAACTAATACAGAAGCTAAAGGAAAGGTGAAAAGATAAGTCACCTCACCTAACTCATAATGAATAGTAAAAAAGAAAATCTTAAGAGAAATGTATCCAATTGTATATAAAAGGAACTATCCTGAAGAACCAAGCACAGGGAGCAGATAGGAGGGCCTAGCAGAAAAAAAAAAAAAAAAGAGTTACTGACTTTAGATTGGTAGGTGAGATTCAGTCATTCCAATGTGGCTCCTGGGGGCTGGGGACAGGGAGGAGGAGGGAACCCAGAGAGGAATTTGGAGTGAGAGTTTTAAATGAACTGGAAAAAACTGGAGGTGATAATACTCTAAAGAAGAGATCCTTTCAGTTATATAAATCCTATAAAACACAAGTCCAGTAATTCCTGTACTGCTTGATTAATTCTTTTCCTAGTAATTAATAATGAAGGTTTTTTTTAAAAGTGAGTGATCATCTTCCTAGTCAAATTATACAATAATTAAAGAACCTCTAATCTGTGCATTATAAGTATCAATGAAAATTAGTATCATGATCAGCAGTATTTAAAAGATTTTCAAAACTTTTAAATTTCTTTTTTTTTGGGCGGTCATGGGGCCTGAACTCTGGGCCTGGGCACTGTCCCTCAATTCTTCAGCTCAAGGCTAGCGCTCTACCACTTGAGCCACAGCGCCACTTCCGGCTTTTTGATTTTTGCTTATGTGGTGCTGAGGAATCAAACCTAGGGCCTCAGGCATGCAAGGCAAGCACTCTACCACTGAGCCACCTTCCCAGCCCCAAAATTTCTTTTTTTTTTTTATTGTGAAAATACCATACAGAGGGGTTACAATTACATGGGCAAGGCAATGGGTACATTTCTTATCAAGCATTGTTGCCTCCTCCTTTGTTTCCCCTTCCCATCCCTTCCCATCCCCCTACCCCTGCACCAAAGTTGTAAAGTTCATTTTCAACATAACATCTTGTAATTGGGTGTAATAGGTGTAATGAGTCCACCTGTATCCCTATTTAAACAATTTGTTTTTTCCCTTCCCCTCCACTAATTATACCAACATCAAATACAGTGAAAACAGGGGTTATACCGTGGGGGAGGGACATACAAAGCAACAAAGAAATATCTTAATATGTTAGACTTTTAAATTTCTTTTTAAAACTTACTTTGATTTCCACAGTCTTGCCTCCATGTTCAATGTGTCTCTCTATGTAATCAGAGGACAGCAAATCACTGCAACAATGAAAAGAAATGATGGTTAAAGAGATGTTCAATGGGAAAGTACCTACCTGCTTAGGATGCTCTAGGCCAAGCTAGACACTTAGCTCTGCAAAGTTATTAATAATAACAATAATACTGAAGATGAAAAACATTTGAAAATTAAGATCAAGTTTATATATATATATATATATATATATATATGTTTTAATAATTCTTTAGCCCTGATTGTAAAATCAAGTGCCATATCCCTTAAAAGATGAGGTATTGAACTGACAACATAACACCTGCTATTCTGAGTCTTAGCACAGTTGATTCTGCCAATTCGGCTCTCAGTGCTAAGAAACTACTATTTACATATTATTACTTTCAAGACATGTTATTTTCATTTTTATTTTACTTTTTCCAAAACATTTACCATCTCATTATGTGTTCTTTTAATGTTTTTTAATTGTAAAAATACTGTACAGAGGGGTTACAATTACATGAGTAAGGTAATGAGTACATTTCCTAACAAGCATTGTTACCTCCTCCTTGGTTTTTCCCCTACTAACCCTTTTCTCCCCACCTCCCCAATTCCTCCCTTCCCTCCCCTCCTCGTCACTCCCTCCCCATGGAAGTTGTAAAGTTCATTTTCAACATAGTCTCTTGTACATCTCATTGTTACAATGGGTCAACCTGTATCCTTATTGAAGCATTTTGTTATTTCCCTTTTCCTCCCCAAATTAGAAAAATGTATATACAAGATGCAGGGCACCAGAATCAAATACAGTGAAAACAGGGGTTATACCGTGTGGGAAGAACATACCAAAGAAACAAAAAAAATCACATAGTATATTATAAATATGTCTTTATCTAACAAAACACTACTTTCCTTAACAAATTTTTAAAAAGGTGGGAAGTTAAATGAAAAATAAGGTAACCTAACCTCAATGCTTAAAAATAATCCTATAAATAGACTAGCATTAGAAATGTATTGTTTATTTCTACCTTGTTAATGAAATTTTGTTCATAATTTAATGCTTAAAAAAACTGAAGACTTAAGCCAGGTGCTGGTGGCTCACACCTGTAATCCTAGCTACTCAAGAGGCTGAGATTTAAGGATCTCGGTTCAAAGCCAGCCTGGGCACAAAAGTCCTTGAGACTCTTATCTCCAATAAACCACTCAGAAAACCAGAAGTGGCACAGTGGCTCAAGTGTTAGAGTGCTAACCGTAAGCAGAAGAGCTGAGGAACAGAGCCCAGGCCCAGAGTTCAAGCCTCACTGTAGATCCTTAGCAACACAATCACCTTTTTGTGCATAAAAACTCCAATTTGAGATAAGGCCTATTTCCAGCATATGAGCTTAGGTCCCCACAATGACCACAGACGTCCCACTTGCACCCTACCCCATAAGTTCCCCTAGCAACAGCCAATGAGCCAAAAGGTGGAAAGTCTCCCCTGAGACCCCAATTGTTGCGTTGCAACATATTTTTTGTGGTTCAGGTTGCTTCCCTATGTGAGACTGTTACAAGACTGTTATAAAACGCTGACTAAATGTCTGCTAACATTGGTAAAGAATAACCAATTGTACTAACCAATAAGAATGTGACAAAACTTACTAACCCTTAGCTACTCAATTGTTTGCCAATCATGTAACTGTTAAGTTGGAAACCTCCCCCACCCCCGCTTTACTTGTGATAAAAAACAAACAAACAAAAACCGCTGTCACCCCTTAAGTTGGGGCTCTCAACTCTGACCCGCTGTGTTGGTGATGGTTGCAATAAACGACTGACTCTCGTGTGCTTGCATCGGAATTGGCTCCTTGGTGGTCTTTGGGGGCCCTATCTGGGCACAACACCACGACCGCCAAAAAGAAGAAAAAAATTTAAAGACTTAATGGAAGTTGTGTCTTGAGGAATTCCATTAAATGGGGATTTTTTCACATATGTGGGATTAAAAAGAATAGTTAAAATTATTTGGACATTTAAAAATTTACATGTAGTTTAGAGGAGGCTTAAAGATGGAATTACTTTAAAATGTGTTAATAGTTGTTCTTCCAGAACAAGTATAATGCAGACATGTAGTGAATATTCAGTTCTGCTTGATGAGTAAATTGGAGGTTTGTATCTATATAAAATATAGGCAAACACTCTGAGACATTTTAAGTATAGGTAAGTAATTAGGAAGTGATATCATGTTAGATGTGGGCAGAATTCACCAGATATTCTAACTTTTTAAGTAAGAATGTCATATATATGCTATTGTTTATTGATAGAAAGACTTGATAATTAAGAGATAACTTATTAAATGTTTATGATATACTAAATATATTGAAACCATTAAGTATCCATGGCTTCTAAACATAGATAAGCAATTTATTATATATCCATGACATCTAAATATAGATCAGCAATTAATATTCTATCACACACTGGTGCTACCCAACATTGCCTATTGACATTTTAGGCCAGCAGAATTCTTTCTCTTGGGAGGCTATCTTTCACAAATGAGCACATTCATTGCACTATCTCTGACTTCTACCCACTAGATGCCATTTTATCTCCTACACACACGAATCATGACAATTAAAAATGTCTCCAAATGTTGCTAAAGGCACACTGGTTGGAACAACTGCTGATAATTTATTCCTGCTCTATGTGTTCTTTGTCCAAGAAGCACACATAGAACACATGAGTGTGTGTGTGAGGCTAATTGGCAAGCTACAGCTAGTGACCAGGCTTATTTTTCTTGTGTCTTTCAAATAAGGCAAAAGTGAGTATAAGTAGTTCAGGATACTTGCCATCTATGGGGCTTGCTCAAATCTCAGTTTGAAGCTAAGAGAGCAACAGGATATATGAAGATTGTATGTCCATATGCCCCCCAGACTAGACTAGCTTGCCATGGTCTCCCTCTCTCCTATTCTACACATGCAACTGAGGATTTTGTGCTTGCTGTGTGTTCCAGTACTGGGGCATCTTAGTTTGCTTAGCTTTGGTGGAGGGGGGGGCTCAGGGCTGACACTCTACCACCTGAGCCACACCTCTACTTCTAGCTTTTTGCTAGTTAGTTGGAGATAAGAGTCTCTTGGATTTGTCGGCCCTGGCTGGCTTCAAACCTCATAATTACCACTTTTGTCTAAAGAAGCTCTTTACTTTGTAGTTTCATTATTTTGTTGGAAGCTACTGAAAAAAATTGAAATAGGTGGCATACAAAGAAAGAAAGAAAGAGAGAGAGAAAGAAAGAGAGAGAAAGAAAGAAAGAAAGAAAGAAAGAAAGGAAGGAAGGAAGGAAGGAAGGAAGGAAGGAAGGAAGGAAAGGGAGGGAGGAAGAAAGAAGAAGAGAGGGATAGGGAGAGAGGGGAAGGAAAGAAGAGGAAGAAGAGGAGGAGGAAGTGGAGAAGGGAGGGAGAAAGAGGAAAAGTAGGAGGGGAAAAAGAGAAGGAAAAAGAGAGGAGCAAGAGGAGGAGGAGGGAAAGGAGAATAAGAGGAGGAGGAGGAGGAAGAGGTTATACCACTACTGGCTGACTGTTCAACAGATTTTTTTTCTTCACTATCATCCTTTCCCTTGATATTAACTCTCTTTGTGAAGTCATGATGTTCAAGGGAAGCCAGGGAGCAGAACCTTGATTGTTCAGAGACAAATGTCCTCGTCAAAGAATTGGTTTAGGCATGGTGCTGTAAAGACTGTAATATTCTGGCAAAAGAGAATTGAAAGGATGGATGCTAGGTGCTTTCTGCGGGGGGGGGGGTGGAGGGAAGGCTTAAATTATTTTAATCTTCATGAGATGTTTAGAATTACAGACGCTGTATTTGAGCAATAAGACCAGCCAGTGAAGAGACAGGCCAGCCCTGATACTGACTAATGGCAGAGCAAGAAGCTGAAAATAGGTTCCATTGTCTAGCCCCAAACAGAAGAGGTACTATCAAGAGTTTTGCAAAAGCCTCGCTACCTGTCTGACAAACTGCACTTCTCAGAACTGAGAGGGAAACACTACCACACATAGGCAATGTTCATTAACATAGCCAGTCAGGTTCCTAAACTACTGAATTCAGAACAAAAGCAAAACCAAAACATTCAGCTCATGAAGAAAAGACAAAGACAGAAAATAAGCTGGCAGACATGTGACAGAGTTGTATCAGTTGCAACCATCAAAGTGAATACTTCAAATCTTTGCTGTTCTAGCCCATAAATCCAGAACAGTTGATCCTGATTGCTATCTGTCTGTGGGCTTGATACCCATCACTAACCCCCATTATCAAGCTAGCATGAATGAAATCAAAAGCACCTAAGTAAAAAATGTGGAGAAATAGCAGTAGCAATAGTAATGACAAGAATCATTTCTTAAAATCAATTTAAAGTCTTCCAGGTTTTCAAATTTTAAGGGAACACTGTCCTTTGAATTATAAAAATGTAGGCATTAAGACAGTATGAGTCACCACAGGAATGTAATTACAGCAAAGAATAACTCAGCTCAGGAATTATGTAGCTTTTTCAACCAAGCCGCTACATCTACAGGGATTACTAGAAAAGGCCCCTTGTAATTAAGCCAAAAACAGCCCAGGCAATTTGGTTTTGTTTGTTTGCAGTGTAGTGAAATATGCTAAGTATTGTTATTTTAATTATTAGGCTGAAAACCCCCCTATTTAAAATGCCACTGTTCCTTCTATTAAAATCCTCAATATCATCAAATTAAAGCCTAAGTAACTATTCTGGAAGCCACCTGAAGCAATCAAAACTACTAATGTCCTTCTCTTTAGAACACCGTTATTTATTATTAAGGAAGTCTCTACTTAAATCATTTTAAGCTTCGGAAAATAGAGGATTCCTTAGTATAGAGAAAATCGCACTGTAAATGGAGAGGGTAAAATTTACCGTGTACTAACAGTTACTTAATACCAATGTGTGAAAATGCTTTGTGATCTTCTTTGTGAATTTAAAGTACAAATAATTTACAACCAAATTCTAAAGGCCATTCATTTTCTACATATCAGACATGTATTGGGACACCTACCCCTATCACATGCCTGTAATAAA